GTGTGTGTGTGTGTGTGTGTGTGTATTTCAATGTGTTGAATATGTGTGAACTCATAAGATAAAGAGACCATGGAAGAAGAAACCCTAAGGAAAGAGAAGAGGGGGAAGGAGACAAAGAACAAAGAATGCTTGTGACAGGAAGGTAAAAGGAAGGAGGTAGAGATTAGCACAGGGTGGGGATGGGGAAGGACAGCAGGGGAGGGAGAGGGATGGAAACTAAGCATATAGGGAAATAACACACTAATAGTGAATTTAAAAACAACAGACACAACTACATACAATATCAACTGAGAAAAACATTAGGTTTGATCTGGAGATGAGCTGGCAAGGTTGGGAGGGAGAGAAACTTTAGAGACACAGCAAGGCTGTGGAGGGGCAGGACTTGGAAAGACAAGCTGACCCAAGCTCTTTATACTCAGGTCCTTTGTGCTTGCTGCCTTCTCAGGCTGAAACATATTTCCTCCTTGATTTGTTACCTAAATCTGTTCTCTTGCTTCAGGAAAACTTCACCCCTTCCATGAAGCCAGCTTCAGACCCCTCCCCAGAGAACAGTTCAAGACTCCCACCTCCAGGCTCTACCAAGCTTGGGACCACACTGTCCTTAGTGAAACAGCTATGGCTTGTGTCACTGTTGAGCTGACACTCCAGGAAAAAGCCTTACTCCATACACTAACAATGCATTTATGAATTAAACCTGATCAATCAACAGAATCATGAACCTAGGTTTCCATTAGTCAGACACAGTATCATATATGTCTTCAAATCTGTTAGAGTCAAAACTTTCCTAGCACAGACAGTGTCTTCCCTAAGCTTCTTGTTCCAAAGATTCCTGAAGATCCTTATGTGGGGTTTTATATTGGGGGAACTACTTACTGGTTTGGAGGAGGATGCACTCATAATACTTGTTTCTCTACACTGTCTCCTGGGATGCTGTGGTCACAGTGGCTCTTATATAATGGTCACAGGATTAGAAGCAAGTCCTCATTTTAGGATGTTCTAAGGACACTCCAAAGAAAATACCTAAGTTTAGCCAAGATATTCCAACCTAAAGGTCACAGAGCATGCTTGAGTGGCAGTGACGGATAGTGATGACCTTGTGTCAACATTAAGACCCAGAGTTGTGAAATTTGAGGCTGCCATGAAGTTTTGGATTTAGTGTGAGCTCGGAAGAAGACCCAGAATGGATGAATAGGAGAATGTTCTGGTGGGAAATTTCATCATGTTTGTCTTGGAGAAGGTGGGACTGGGAGTTGTATTTGGAGGGAGGGCTGGGGGGATGGGAGGAGGTAGGACAGGGGAATCCATGACTGATGTGTAAATTTAAATTAATTATAAAATAAAAACATTTATAATGAAAAAAAGAAGATAGAGAAATCTTACACTAGTGTGTAGCTGGAGTTTCCTCTCCAGGTCCCGCCAAGCCCGGCAGTCCCACAGCCCACTTAAAAAATAAAGACACAGACACTTATATTATTTGTAAACTGTATGGCCATGCCAGGCTTCTTGCTATCTAGTTCTTATATCTTGAATTAACCCATTTCTATTAGTCTATACTTTGCCATGTAGCTCGTGGCTTACCGGTACCTTACATCTCACTTGTCATGGTGGTGGCTGGCAGTGTCTCTCCACCTCTGCCTTCCACTTCCCAGAATTCTCCTCTCTCCTTGTCCCGCCTATACTTCCTGCCTGGCTACTGGGCAATCAGTATTTTATTTATTAACCAATCAGAGCAACACATTTAACATACAGAACATCCCACAGCACTAGTGACTTAACAGCACACCTGAAAGCTCTAGAACAAAAAGAAGCAAACTCACCCAGGAGGAAGAGATGCCAGGAAATAATCAAATTGAGGGCTGAAATCAGTGAAATAGAAACAAAGAGAACAATACAAAGAATCAATGTAAAAAGATCTGGATCTTTGAGAAAGTCAACAAGGTAGACAAACCCTTTCCAGACTAGCCAAAAGACAGAGAGAGAGAGCATCCATATTAGCAAAATCAGAAATGGGAGACATAACAACAGACAACGAGGAAATCCAGAGAATCGTCAGGTCATACTTCAAAACCCTGTATTCTACAAAATTAGAAAATCTAAAAGAAATGGACAATTTTCTGGATAGGTACCACATACCAATATTAAGACCAGATAAATAATTTAAATAGACCTATAACCCCTAAGGAAATAATAGAAACAGTCACTAAAAGTCTCCAAACAAAAAATAGTCCAGGACCAAATGGCTTCATTGCAGAATTCTACCCGAATTTCAAAGATCTAATACCATAGGTAATTCTCTTTCTTTGTTGCATCTTTGTGTGGTTTGGGTATCAGGGTAACTATGGCCCCATAAAGAGAGGTTGGTAATGTTCCTTCTTTGAAATTCTGGTAGAATTCTACACTGAAATCATCTTGTCCTGGGCTTTTTGGTTAGGAGACTTTTGTTTTGTTTTGTTTTTCGAGACAGGGTTTCTCTGCGTAGCTTTGCGCCTTTCCTGGAGCTCACTTGGTAGCCCAGCCTGGCCTCCAACTCACAGAGATCCGCCTG